AGTGGAAGTTCATACCTCCTGGTGCACCAAACATGGGAGGTGCATGGGAGCGTCTGGTGCGATCCATTAAAACCGCACTGGACGCCACGCTCAACGAAAGGCAACCACGAGAGGAGGTACTTCATACCCTCCTGTTAGAGGCCGAGCACATAGTCAACTCTCGGCCCCTCACCCACCTCTCCGAGAACCCTGAAGAAGAAGCACTTACACCGAACCACTTTCTCATCGGGCGATCATGTGGCGCAGCAAGAATCGGCAGCTTCGAGGACAACGAGCTTGTGGGCAGACACACCTGGAAGGCTACGCAGCGACTTGCCGATCACTTCTGGCAACGTTGGCTGAGAGAGTATTTGCCCACTCTACTACCAAGGAAGACCAAAGGAAGAGTCAGCGCCACAGATTTGCAAGTCGGAGACATCGTACTGATCGTCGATCACAGCCTACCAAGATGCATCTGGCCACGCGGAAGAATCCTGCATGTGTATCCTGGACCAGACGGGCGGACCAGAGTCGTCGACGTCGAGACCAGAGGAGGTGTTCTACGGAGGCCCAGTTCGAGAGTGGTGCTGTTGGTGCCGGGAGCGTCGCCGAGTCCAGGAGTTGGTGCAAAGCACGAGGGGGAGAATGTCGGCGACGGAAAACTAATCTTCGAGTAACGTGTGTATTAATATAGGGACAATGTCATTTTAGCGTATTATGAATAATTGTTGTAAATATGAAATCTCATTCTTATTAGATTTATTATGTTAAAATAAGTTCTAATTAGTGTAATAAGGTTAGTTTAGAGTATTTTTTGCTTATTTGAATCATATAAGACTATTTAACATTAATTTGAAAGGAATAGGTACGTAAGTAAAATGTTAGCATATAATTACGTAACTTGAAAATGAGATTTTTTGTTTCTTGCAATAGCATAATAGTTTATGTTTTAAATAATAGATTTTATTATAAAACTTATAATAAAACAAGAATTAGGTCGATAGGACTATCCGTTCAAAAGTTATAAGGGAAAATGTATAGTAAAAATGTAGCAACCTAGAAATTTAGATATTTTTGTTTTAAGACTTTTTTAATTAATTATTATATATTGAATATTATGTTTTAATATTGTATAATAGTATGTAAGGCATGTAAATAAATAAATATGTGTAAGGTGTTTTACTGAAAACATAAAATAAAAGGACTCTCAAGGTTTCGGTTTAGGGAAATTTTATTCGAAAAACGAGCTCAAAGTACGCGGCTCTCTGTAAGGTATTAACGGGCCAAATAAAAGGCGAGCCATTTCTCGATTCGAGTCAGTCGCAAGACAGCCACCGAAGAGGCAACAACTAAAAGGAAAAGGAAGAACCGAAACCAAGAGAGAAAAAAGGAAAAAATTGTGTTTTATTTCATCGCCTCTAAGTATAGTCTCCTGTCAACGAAGAAACCCTAGTGGATCGGGACCCAAGCTACGCATTCAGGGGTGCGTGGTGGCGTACATTACCAGCGAACGGACATACTGCCGTGTACGCCAAGAACGTCTGGGAGATTGTCCCAGGTCGACCTCCGGGTACTAGACATACCCTGGTTCTGGTCGTCCGAAACAGTATTCTTTTACAGAATGATTCAATTTTAATGACTCACAAGGTGTTTTTGCTGAATTTTTCCACACGCCATGTTTTACTAGTGCTTAGAGGTACGAGTATTATATTTTGACAATACATATACATTTTCGATATTTTTTTTAACTAAATGGGAATAATGTCTAAATTTTGCTATTATAAGCATTTTTTGTATTGTATTAAGACCTTTTTTTTAAACGTCCCATTGCTGGGCACGGACCTCCCTTCAATACGAGGGGGACCAGGCTATCGGCCACCAAGCATTCCAAGTGCGGGTTGGCGGACTTCACATGTCTTTCGAAAACTTGCTAGGTTCTCTCAGACATGCAGGTTTCCTAACGATGTTTTCCTTCAACTTAAGACACGTGGTTGAAATTTTCAATATTAACTTTCAATACTATGAGTTAGGTTACAGTGAATAAAGTGCACCTGACAAATTTTGTTTATTTGTTGTGTACAGCCCTTTTTAAGCATCTCATGCAAGGCACGGGCCTTCCTTCGATATGAGGGGGATCAGGCCTTAGCCCGCCAAGCAGGCCAAGTACAGGTTGGCTGATTTCACATGTCTCTCAAAAACTTCCTGGTCTCTTTCAGATATGCAGGCTCCTATATTATGTTTTACTTCACTGTTAAAGACAAGTGCTAATGACCTTGAAAATGATTCGCACATGAAAATATTAGAGTTGCGTGGCCCGGGATTTGAATTTGCATCCCTTGGTTTCCCAAGCAAGCATGTTACTACTGGGCTATCAATGCCTTGTATTAATAACTACCGAATTACCATCGTTTCGCTCGAGTGGCGTCCCTAGGCACGTTTTATTTTTTGTCAGCAGTACCCTAATTCTTCTTCTAAAACAAAAGTAGCCTAAGTTACTCCTTACAACAGCAGCTATCTGCCAGTGAAAGTTCAGCCGCTTCGGAGTTTAGCCGGAACAAACAGACGGACAGCCAGACAAACAAACATTTTGAAAATTGTATTTTTCTTATACGTACCGTGTATAATTTCATATGCATTTGGTAAAAAGCTGTTATTCTTATATTATAAACAGACAATTCAATTTTATTTATCTGTATAGTCATAAAAATGGCTAAATAAAACAAAAACAATACAATTAAGAATAAAAGAAAGTGACATACACCTTTTCGCTTTGAAATTTGATATTTTTGACAACCCTGTTGTCAAAAGCAAGCATGAAGCAGCAAATCACAGCACTTCCGTTAAAATCAATGGTGCCTACTTTATGGCTTGTTTTTCAGTGTTAAACTTAAATTGAAAATTTGTCAATTTTTATATACATTACTTAAGGAAATTTCAGCAGTTACAGCACGTTTGAAACTCCAGTTTTTCTGTTTGTACCACGCTTTGATAATGCTCCAAACAAAATTATTTTTAGGGTTCTGTAGACTAAAGGCAAAACGGAACCTTATAATTTCATCAGATCCGTCTTTCTGTCCGTCGTTCAATAGTTAATCGCTATAATTCAATACTTTTAAAATATGAGATAGTAACACTTTCCATATTTTTTGATGTTTCTAAAAATAAGTTTGTACTCTTTTTTCTGAAAATAACTTAAATTTTTAACCCAAATGAAAAATATAAAAACTGCTCTTATTCAAATTAACTAAAGATACAAACAAAAGTACCTACCAAAATTAGACTTTTATAGGTTTGTCAATATAATATTTAATTTAATAACAAAATATAATATTTTTTCATTATTATATTTTTAAAATGATTACGACACGTAAGAGCAATACAGTAGATATATTAAAAAAGGTTTAGTTTGAATATTTTCCTTATAAAATTAAAGTAACATCTAAAATTGTACTGATGATACAATAGTGTTTAAGCAATTTCACAACATTGTGAAGTTGAGGAAATAATATAACTATTAATCAATCGACTTATTGATTTAAATGACTCAACGAGACTGACGGTTTCGAACTTCCTGTGACATTTTCCGCCGGAAACAAATATGGAACCCATGTTCTAAAATTTTACTTTATATTCACGTAAAGATTATAGTTAAAAGTGACTATAATAAATATTTTTATTAGAAATCAATACAAATGTTCATTTACAAGATTATTAGATATCAAAGATAACTAAATTCAACGCACAACAAAGAAAATATTTAGAAAACCCAATGATATATAAATAACATATGATATATGACTGTTATATTATACAAATAAAATATATTTAAATTTATTTAGTTTCGGGTAGCAGGCTAGTTTTTTTTTATTATAAGCGCCCTAGAATGGTACCGGAACCTACGGGGACGATGGCTGGGTGCTACCATCGTTAGATTTAGTTAGTTCTTACTGTGTAGATCGAAATAACAGCAATTGAAATTAATAAATAACTTACTATTTACTATACTTTTATTTAACCCTAGAGCCTGCAAATATGATTACTTTATGAGATGTTCATAAATAAAATATCATATCTATAATTTTTTCTTTTATTATTTTAATGTAATACCCATCTTTATAATATATAATAATATTATATGTAATATAATTAATGTAATATTATTCTATGTAATATAAACCACAAATATAATAATTATATAATTATGTTATAATTTCAAAATATTTCAGTATGTATTTAATAAAACACATCAAAAAATTGAATGACTATTTACTATATATATATATATATATATATATATATATATATATATATATATATATATATATTACATAAATTTTAAACCAATGCCAAAATAAATCTAAATATTTATGACGTTTTACTATAATTTTATATAATTTTAAAAATAAAATTATATATAATAATAAAAATTTTAATTTTACTAAATTATATATAATATTACATATGAAATCCGTAAAAGTCGCTAGTTACTGATATAAATGCAAAACTGCTTGATGATTCTTCTGTCATTTATCCCAATTTTCATATTCCTTACGTTCTATTATAATATATTTTTATACATATTTAGGTATACATAAACTACATAAATTTAATATCTTTTTTATTTATAACAATCTGACATTATTTTGATTCTGATCATTCTCACATATTATCTTTTATCTATTTATTTTGATTGATACTATACTAATACTATTGAAACAAACGTATTTAATTAGCTTTTGCACGTGACTCCGCTCATAAGTGTCATAGCCCAATAAATAATCTAAAAAATGAAAAAAAAAAACCTGATTGGTAGTTCTAGAAGTACTTGAAATGAGCGCGTTCAAAAAATAAAAAATAATAAAAAAAAATCTCTTGAGCTTTATAAATATCAGTATACGTAGATATTTTGCTACGGATCTATTATTAAAACCTAACTATGTGCAGTGTTTAATTAGTTTTTTTTTTAATTATAATATAGGACAGGATATGCCGCTATAAATTAGGTACACAAAACAAATTTATTGTTTATGTATAATTTCAGTATTGACGTAGAACTTTCCTCTGGTATTACCAGGATTGAAATATCCAACGACAGTGGTCTCGTTATTTTCACAAAAACCCTCTGCGAAAGATTCATATGAATTGCACGAGTGTGCTAAATAGATATCTGGGTTATGCACTGTGGTCATCCAAAAAAGGAGGCAGGCTTTGTGGTAGCATTTTGCTGTTTCTTCGACATTTTTTCCTGGAAATTAGGTAAATCCTTTATTTATTACTATAAATTGTATCAATGACGTAAATTTACTATTTCAGACGTAGGTTTGTTTTTGACATGCGTAAGCTGTTAGCTAGGGTTATATCAATTTGAAGATATTTGAGGAAGTATTGTACTTATATGATAATGATGTTTATTTTGCCTAGTAAAATAATTATATTAAGAATTAACAATGTATTATTACTTTATATATTTTATAATCAAATATTTGTTTAAATTTTACTGTTAAGACGGTATTGTATACAAATTGTATATAATAGTCTATATAAATAAAAATGAATGTTGCTAAGCGCAAAACTCGAGAACGGCTCGACCAATTCAGCTATTTTTTTTCGTATGTTCCTTAAGGTACACGGAAAGTTTTAATAAAGAGAAAAAATCTGTATAGATAAATACAATTAAAATGTCTGTTTGTAATGTCAATAAAAGCCTTTTACTAAATGCATATGAAATTGTATACGGTACTTATAAGAAAAACGCTTTTTTTTAATGTTTGTCTGTCGGTCTGATTGTCTGTCTGTTTGTTCCGGAAAATCTCTGAAATGGTTGGAATGATTTTGACGGGACTTTTACAGGAAGATAACTGATGTTATATGGAATAACATAGGATACTTTTATTTTAGAAAAATAATTAGAGTTCCGCTCAAAAAAATTAAAACTTACCTAGGAACGAACCCGAGCGAAGCGAGGGTGAGTCGCTAGTAAAGAATATAACTTTTGACAGCTTTGAGAAAGTCGCTTACAAAAGGCTAACATTATAATACTTCTTAACTGTTTCATTAGTCTAGTGACTATCGGTCGAGAGGTTTTGGGTCGTGTCAAGTCAAAATAAGTTGTAACTATCGTATTACTAGAAAAAAATATTAAAAGGATGGAATAATATAAAAAGTATCGCAGTCGGTAGGATTCGAACCTACGCTCCCAGAGGGAATCTGATTTCTAGTCAGACGCCTTAACCGCTCGGCCACGACTGCCACATATATTAGGCTTTATTTTGTAGATCGCTGTGTATACATTTATAATTATAACTTTATTTCATAAAAAACATTTTTAGGGTTCCGTACTGTACGGTCTGTCACTAGGCTGTATATCAGGAACCGTGATAGTTAGACCTTTGAAATTATCACAGATGATGTTTTCTGTTGCTGCTATAACAATAAATACCAAAAACAAAATAAAAAATATTTAAGGGGAACTCCATACAACAGACATGATTTCTTTGCCATTTTTATATATAACGGTACGAAACATACACGAAAACTATGGACTTCCAAGCACCCGGGAAGCCCTTGGGTATCTAACAGTAGTATGTATTACAGGTCCATCTAATCTAAATTTCATCCAAATCCTGCCAACCCTTTGAGCAACATATACACAAGTTTTCATACAATTAAAATATTAGTCCTTACTTATTATATTTACCTTCCTCGCAATTTGGTTGTATCTTCCCTTCGTAATTGAAAAAGAAGTCCGTATCCGCTAACACTTGTGTTGTACCTAAATGTCCAGCATTGCAGTGGTACACTTCTACGTATTTCGCCACACCTGATCTAATTTGCTCATCCACGGGACTCTTAGAAAAACATGGTCCAGCGGGATCCAATCCTGTTATCCTCCAAAGGAGATTATTTGTAATATTGGTATACGTTTCTCCTGCATATCCAAGTATATGACTGCCTAAGCTATGACCCACACAGTGGATATTGTCTGATGGAAACTTTAATTCAGCCAAAAACGTTCCCAATGCCGAACCAATGTAATAAGAATACAATACAGATCTTATAAAGCTCTCTAATTTTGATGCCTCATTTTCAAACATATATGGAGAATGGTCGATAATAATGAGGTAAGTATTAGAAACATTTTTGAATGTTTGTCTAATCGATTCTTCGATATCTCGATTTATGTGTCCCTTGTAACCAGGAACGAATGCGATAAGTCGTCGATTATAATCAAAGTCTATAGAATTTTGTATTCGGTCGGCAGCAACATCGATTTGACTGGCCACAGTGATATTGTTGATAAAATCGTAGAAATAAACGAAAGTACCGCTTACATCCAGATTTAATGCTTTGTTATGGTCACCTGAAAGGCATTAGGTAAACAATTTTAATAATAATTAATCAGCTTTCTATGCATAATCATTTTTGAACTCTTAGAATCGGCTATATTACAAGTAGTTAATATGACATAAATACACACGTATCTTTTTAGGGCTCTGTACCCGAAAGTTGCCAATGGAAGCCTATTACTATGCCTCCGCTGTTTGTCCGTCCGTCCGTCTGTCAGAGGGTTGTATCTCATGAACCGTAATAAGTAGAGAGTTGCAATTTTCACATAGTATGTATTTCTATAGCCGCTAAAACAACAAATAAAAAAATAATAATACAAGAAACGTTCGTAATTGATCATCGAAGCATATATACTACATACATATAGAGTAAAAGTCATATTAATAAAATCATGGACTATGGCACGGAACCCTTTGTGAACAAATTCGACTCGCACGTGTTTATATATTCTATGATAACCAAAAAGTACAGAATATTTTTCAGAATGTGACGGATTTAACGTTGCAGATAGTACTTGAGGGGTTCGACTTGGGGCGCCGTAGTAGTTATGCGCAAGCGATCCTGCGGTGTCCCATTAAGGCGGAGGGGAGGGGAATGTCGGGTTTTAGTGGGTAGTACCGGCTCTTCTAGCCGGTGAGCCCCACATCACCACCTGGGGGATCAGGTGGTATGCGTAAATGCATTTCCCGACATTAAAAAAAGGGGTTCGACTTCCAATTGAATTTGAGTAGTTAAGTTCTTCTATTTACATCTGGTATTCAATTAAGTGACACATTTCTTTAATTTTTCTAAATATCTTATACTCTCAATAAAAATTACCAACTTATTCTTCACATTTAAATTTATTTATTTTATTTATTAAGAGTATTTTATCTTTATTCAAGTAGACTTATAAAACACACAACAACACTTTTGAAAAATTATAAATTAAACATCGGGACAGGTGAAACTTAATAAAAGCTTGTAATTTAAATATACTGTTAAAGTGAAAACACGAAACACTGTGCATACTCCTAACGATAACTTCATCAGTTTCTCAGAGAGAAGAACAACTTAGAACTAAAATTAGGGAATATTTAGTGTTATAAAAATTATTGTTACAAAAAACTGTGTTGTGTGTATTGTTAAAAACAAAAACAAATCTGTCCCACGGGAACCGTATATTTTTCCGGGATTAAAAGTAGTCTATGTGTTATTTCAGACTATAATATATCTCTGTGCCGAATTTCATCCAGATCCATTCAGCCGTTCTGGCGTGAAAGAGTAACTAACATCCATACTCACAAACTTTCACATTTATAATATTAGTATAGATTACTTACATTTCATACTCCTCGAATATAAAACACGAAAACGATCATCGATTAAATCGGCTTTAATAACAACAGTATAGAAAACAAACATTAATACGCAACTAGCGAGCAAGTATCCATTCTTGAACAGAAGCATGACTGAACTAAATTTTGTACCAACAGAGTTATCTCTCATTTCTTTATAGTTCATATATTTATATCATTCAGTTCTTTTCCACATAATATGGGATCCGAAGATTCCGTCTGCTTTATCGGGAGCTTATCAAAAATATTCGCGAGGAATATGTATTTGATAAAATAACAATCTAGGTATTTTTTTGTTTTGAAAAAAATGAATATATAATTAATATAATTATTCAAAAAATATTTTCTTCTTGTATTAAAAAATAAATTTATGCTTATACATAATATGTACCTAATTTTAAACATGAAAAATAAATAAATAAAATTCTTGTGTATGTATGAAATGTAAAGTTGTTGATGAACCTAATGAAGAGAAAAAAAATAATCCTAAGTATCTCAGTCAGCATTTTTGCAATAATATTAATAGAAATAAATAACTTTTGTAACAGTTATTTCGTTATGAGCGAAAATATTTTCGAATTTAATGAAACCAAACTATTAATTAAAAAAATAATCATTAAAATCGACAAAAACTTGGTGTGTCAAGAATTGATAATTTCTCTCTTTTTTAAAGTCGGTTAAAATGTATATTTTACATCCGTCAAAACAATCTTGACAAATCAATGAGAAAAGGTAATAATACTAAGAATGTGACGTTTTGATAACATTGTTATGTCTTATTATTCTGCAATTGTTTTATTATTAATCATAATTTTGTATTATAACTAGTGACTGGCCCCGGCTTTGTTCACGTATGACGACTTGATAATAAATAATTAGACCAGTCTTTATTTTCATTAAATACAATATATGCATTATATTGTTAAATAACTAATAAATCGATAAAAATATAAGTTTAGCCATTGTGGTCTGTGTCAAAAAGCATTACGGGATCACTAGGATTAGGGGATTAAGGGATCGTACCCATATGACGTGACTCGTTCAGCCCCTCTGAAGGGAGGGGAGTGGGGGGCGGGGGGTATCTTCGAAATACCGCATTTGGTCACAGCAGCGGGGGGAGGTCTTAGGTCTTCGTCACGTAGTTAATATTCGATAGGGAAATATCGCGCTTTTCACAGCAAGCACCGTATTAATAAAGACAAATATGATACAAGTTAAGTTTTTTCAACTTTCTGTTTGCAAAAAATGATTTAAAACCATATTTATTAATTACTATGTGAAAACTAGAGGAAGCAGAGAGGAGGGTTCTTGGCATATATTACGGGTGGTGATAGGTCGGTCAAATTGTAAAAAAGAAATCTCTAAAATACAGTAAAAATCGCAAAACTCAATAAAATTAGTTATGTAGTTAAACTAAACGCACAAACAGACGTACTTTACTTGTTTTATACTATTATAAGATGGTTAATTGTTATTAACTTAATAATGGGCTAAAATATACTTTGTCATTGTGGTCTGGCACCGATAGCTATACCTTAACATTTATTGTATTAAAAGCAGTATTTATGAATGAAAATTGGTTCTTTTGTAAAAAATACAAACTTGTAAAAATATAGACATTTTATGATGATTTGAAGCAATTTTAATTTTAATTATAATTATTATACCCACGAAAAATTCTACAACTAAAAACACATAACTTTCCTTTGGGCTGTGCTGCAGTCGGGTAAATTTTAATGAATAAGTATAAATATAAGATAATATGGATTAATTTTAAAAATATTTTATAATAGCTAAACCTCACATAAGTATTGAAAGAAATATATCAAAACATATGTAAATAGGTGTAGAAAAAAAATAATATTATCGACCAAAATGATCTTAAAAATTACTGTTTATTTAGAGAGAAAGTATTATTGTACATTCTTAGATTGAACGCGAATATTTAACATTTTAAAACTTACCTACTTCTTGCGGATTTATTTTGATATTTGGTTACAGAATTTTTCGAATGCTTTACAGCAATCAAAGTCATGGGAGAGACCTGGCTTGAAAAAATCCGAAAAAAAATCGTTTGTTAATAGTTATTATATGTAATTGTAACTTTACAAATATATTGGCGAATAAACATACTGATAAATTATTATTGTACGACATATATATGACGATGGTACCTACTTGTTATGTTTTGAAATCATTCTCGTTATGACCGAATTTGATAAAAATTCGTCAGTGTTATTCAAGAATTAGAACAAAATAAGGAAAAATATTAAGTTACTTATATTTTTGCTTGAAGAACTATAATTTTAATTAGTTATTAATGTGATCTGTTTTTATTTAGAACATTTTAATTTATTTTTTTCTTCTCTTTTCGAAATTGGAAATTAAATCGAATTATTGGAGTTCATAAATTATAGAGGAACTAGCATTGCCTGCGGCTCCGCCCGCGTTCATATGACCAAAACCAAATTCTTAGGTTTTATATATTAGTATACTCGTATTAGTATTAGTTGACCCACATAACCAGCTATTATCATACCAAATTTCTTCAAAATCCCTTCAGTGATTTTTCTGTGATGCGGTCACAGACAGACAGTCACACAAAAATTCTTAAAACTATAGGTTCGGCCTCTGTTAGCGATATTTATGTGTATTTCAATAAAATTTTCCAAAAAATATTTAAAACACAGATACTGCTTCATTAAATTTTAATGTATAGATGTAACTAATTTATAAAGCCAAAAAGATTGTTTTTTGATAATTTAAACACGGGCGGGGCCGCTGGTAATTTAGTTGTAATTCTAATAAAATCATAGAAAGGTCGAACTTGTACATTCAATTTTTTGGAATTAAAACTACGTATTTTAAAGACACATGGCGACATCTATTGACAAATATCTAAATAATATAAAAATTAATTTCATTAAAATAATTTTTTTAATGAATAAAATAGTGATATTGATATACTTTTCCAAGATTAACTATTTTTAATAGTTCATGACATATTTAGTAAGTTAACTTGCTAAAATCTATATAGTATCATCGTTTTTTATTCTAACCAGTTTTTGTATTTTTTCTCAGAAATGATGTATTTTTCTGCGGGTAAAAAGTATCCTATATGTTGACCCCGATAATCAGCTATGACCATACCAAATTTCATCAAAATCCGTCCAGTAGTTTTTCTGTGATGCGATAACAGACAGACAGACAGACAAAAATTCTAAAAACTATAGATTCGGCCTCTGTATCGATAATAATGTCTATTTCAATAAGATTTTCTAAAAAATATTTAATGTACAGATTTGACTTAATTAGAATTTTATTATATGTATAGATTTATATTTTGGCAAGTACGCCTAACTTTATTTAATAGCAATTTTGTCATATTATAAATTGCTATACAAATTCGA